AGAGGCTTCAGGGGGTGGAGTAGTCGCTGCCTCTGTCCAAAAAGGAAAGGCGATCGGTAGACACCGTGGAGGTTCCCGGTCTAGGAGTCAAGTTGACCCCAACGCTCCTCCATGGGAGAAAGCAGGTCTAACAGAGGACGTGTGGAGAGACCGGTACACCCGGCAGGCTTATATCCGTTATGGCCAATATGGCCATAATCAGTTCAAGTGCCGGAACAAGAAGGTGACCGAGAAGATCCCGCCTACGATGGGGCAGGCGTTGGGATCCTCCGCTCCCGTAGGTAGCAATGTGACCAACAGTTCTGGCAGTGCTCCGAGAAACACGTCGGGCCAGTAGGAATAGTAGTTGTTCCTGCTAGGGTCGAGGTGGTGGACACACCCTCACCATCTCGAGAGATGGCCCAAGCTATTGACTCCATCGTCGTCCCGCAAACACATTAAGACTCATCGAGTCTCTATTCTATGAATGTGTTCGAGTCCTTAGAGGAGCTAGAGGAGGAGTGGTCTAGATCAGACCCGCTAGCTTCTTGGACGGCATTGGCTAAAGCCCCTAAGGGTGAGATGTTCGTCAGGGAGGTAGTCATTGGCGGCCGTAAGGCCGAGGCCTATTATGACACTTGCTCGACGCGTAACTTCATTAGTCGCGCGTGTGTTGAGAGGTTGTGATTACAGGGGCAAGTGCAGCGCCTGAGTCGACCTGTGGAGTCGACCTGTGCCAAGAAACAGCCCGCATGGTAGTCAATGGCTACCTCTAAGACATTGAGTGTCTATTCCTGTACGCGGGAGGGGAACTGATACATCGCGTCTCATTCCTAGTCAGCGATGATCTCCCAATGGACATTCTGTTGGGTATGTACTATCTTTCGGTTGCACAACCCCAGTTTGACTGGGACCGAAAAGTGGTCAAGCACACTTTGCCAGGTGGGGGGACCGCCAGATTACGGAAGTTCAAAACTAATAGTCTGATCGAGTCCTACAGATGCATGTGTGCGGCCGCGTTTTACAACTATTATAAGCAAAATCCGGTGGAGGGTATATATCTAGTTTATGTCTCTGCAGCAGGCGAGCTGGTGAAAATGTCGTCGGAGATAGAGGGAGTAGTCGCTAAGTACCCTGATCTATTCGAAGAGCCGAAAGGGGTTGTCGAGAGGGAGGTCGTCCACGCGATAGAGATTATCCCAGGATCTAGCATCCTGAAGGGTAGGATCTATCGGTTGTCTCTAGGCGAGCTTGACGAGCTTCGCCGGCAGCTCAAGGAACTCGTAGAGAATGGTTGGATCCGACCGAGTGTCTCCCCTTACGGATCACCAGTTTTATTTGTATCGAAGAATACTGCGCATCGATAACTTGTTAGATCGAGTGCAAGGGTGTCAGTACTTCAGTAAGATAGATCCGAAGTCCGGGTACCATTAGATTGCAATCCGGCCTGAGGATCAACACAAAACCGCATTTTAGACCAGGTTTGGTATGAGTTTGCGGTGATGCCTTTCGACCTTTGCAATGCTCCTGGCACCTTTCAGCACGCGATGAATCGGATTTTTCATGACTACTTGGACAAGTTTGTCATCGTGTACCTCGATGACATACTTATCTTTAGTAGAACTGTCAAAGAGCATGTAGCTCACCTAGACAAGGTTCTTGGCCTCCTTCGACAACACAAGTTCAAGATAAACGGGGAAAAACGTGAGTTTGGCCGCACCCGTATCTTGTACTTGGGTCATGAGATTTCCCCGGAGGAATTGAAGCCCGATGACGCGAAGGTGGCCAACATTCGTGACTGGCCGAGTCCTCAGTCTGTGACTAAGATGAGGTCCTTCTTATGGATGACTGACTACTATCGCAATTTTGTGAAGAACTATAGTATAGTTGCCGCCCCTTTGACGGATCTCACTCGCCTTGACACCCCATGGGAGTGGACAAACAGGTGTGAGGCTGCTTTCAGACATCTGAAGCATGCGTTGACACACCACGAGGTCTTGAAACTTCCTGATCCTGACAAGCCGTTTATAGTAACCACGGAGGCTAGCCAATATGACATAGGCGCCGTGCTCACGCAGCAGGAGGGGCCAAAGTTGAGGCCAGTGGAGTACATGTCCAAAAAAATGCCTTCTCAGAAGTTGGCTAAGTCCACCTATGAGAAGGAGCTGTACGCGATCAATAAAGCGCTAACCCATTGGAGGCATTACCTCCTTGGGAGGTTCTTCTACGTCAGGACTGATCATCAGACCCTGAAGTGGATGAGAACCCAGCCAGTGCTCTCTGATGCATTGAAACGTTGGATTGATGTCATTGAGCAGTATGACTTCGAGCCCTAGTACCTCAAAGGTGAGTACAACAAAGTTGCTGATGCGCTGTCACGTAGACCAGACTTCTCTGGTGCGTTGATCACTGAGTTTGGGCTTGTGGATGATGTTACTTGTTCTTTAGTGGAAGCCTACCGTGAGGATCCGTTTATGGTTGAGATCATACGCAAACTCAAGGCGAAGGACAAAGTGGCTTCTGTCGAGTTTGAGTTGGTCAACGGCCTGAGGTTCCTCGAGAAGGCCGGGAAAATACGTCTGTGTGTGCCCAATCCGGAGTCTTTGCATAGTTTATTTTTAGGTGAGTGTCACGATGCCACAAAACATTTTGGCTATAAAAAGACTGCAGCCAACTTGCTGCAGCAGTTCTGGTGGCCCACAATGATGAGAGACGCCAAGCTGTACGTGGAGACCTGTCAGGTATGTCAGAGAGACAAGCCACGTACACAGGCCCCTCTTGGGCTTCTCAAGCCCCTTCCGATACCGGAAAGGCCTGGTGAGAGCCTGTCCATGGACTTCATGGATACACTGGTCACCAGCAAGAGTGGAATGCGCTATGTCTATGTCATTGTGGATAGGTTTAGTAAGCATGCTAGGTTAGTCGTTATGCCTGCAACAGCCAAGACTGAGTACGTAATCAAGTTGTTCAAGAAAATCTGGGTCAGAGATTTTGGATTGCCAAAGTCTATTGTGAGTGGCCGGGACGTGCGATTTACTAGTGAACTGTGGAAGGCTGCAGCTGCAGAACAGGGTACACAGCTGCAGATGACCTCCGGGAACCACCCAGAGGCAAACGGGCAAGCAGAGCAGCTGAATCGCGCCTGTTGAGGCACTACATTAAGCCCAACCAGGTGGACTGGGGTGAGAAACTGGCTCTCGTCGCCAGCCTGTACAACAATGCTGTTCACAGCGCAACAGGGGTGAGCCCAAACAGTCTGCTACTGACATTCAAGCCTAGACTGCCTCTAGACTTCCTACTACCTGAGAGTCAGCCAACAGCTGCACCTGGTACATTAGAATTTGCTTATTGATATGAACAGATGATACAGCAGGCTGTAGAACAGATGCACAAGGCACAGGCGGCGATGATAGAATCTGAGAACAAGCACCGCTGCCCATCTACATTCCAGGTAGGGGACAGAGTCTGGGTCAAGTCTTCAGAACTGGGACAAGAGCACGGGATATCCCGTAAGCTCATGCCACAGTACTTCGGACCCTGGGAGGTCTTGGATATTGTTGGGGATGATCCGGACGGACCATCATATGTAGTTCAAATCCCTGGTCACCTTCGCACTTACCCTGTCTTTCATGCCTACAAACTTGCACCTTTCGAGGAAACTGATCAGTTTCCCACACGTCGCTCAATGCTGCCCCCAACCATGGACGGAGAGGTCGACATCGACGACATCGTGGACCACAGGGAAATGCCGGTTCCAAGACCGACAGGCAGGGTACGTCCTCCGAAGCCGAAGCCGCAGTACCGAGTTCGGTTCAGACATCACACTGATCCAGTGGAGGACAGATGGTTCACACGGGAGGAATTGATGCAGACCGCACCGCAGGTTGTCGCCCACTATGAGAAGTTGCTCCAGAAAGGAAAGCGCCAAATTTAATGAACTTCTCAGAGGACTAGCGAAGTATGGAGGAGGGAATGCGAGGCTCAAGGCCTCGATTTGCCCTACTGGACCCTAATTTCTGTACATTCGGCCGCCCTAAGTGAAGGCAGGCTCGACCCAGGGCCTACAGGCCTATTTTTGGGTCATCACGCAACTGGGTAAATTCAGGCAGTTGCGCAGCGCCAGTTGGTTGAGAGCGCCCAAGCCCAGGCTGCCTCTTTCGAATGTAACTGAGGCAGGCCCTGGGCCAGATTCGCAACATGGACCGAACGCAGGCCGCGGGCGGTTGGACACGGGCAACCACCACAGGCCCAGGGCCTGTTTCGTTTGGACTGGGGCTCAGCCTCTCTGGCCTTACCGGAAGCTTCTGGGCAGGGGCCCAGCGCAGCCAGGCTGCACGCAGGGCAGGCAGGCCACCTCCATTTAGGAAAGGGCCTGCCCACGCATTCGGGATTCGGGCACTGGCTGCATGCTGCGCAAGCGCCGGTGCGCTAACGCTGGCCAGCGCTCACACGCGCATGGGCGAGCTGGAAGGAGCAGGCAGCCATAGCTGTATGCTGGATGGGGCGCATGGTGGTCCTTGGGTGCAGGTGGCATCTGTGAGTTGGGGATCGAGGTTGTGAGTGATACGAGAGACATACCTGGTGCTTGAGGCGAACGGCATTGGCCGAGATCTGCTCATACTTCAGGGAGCTGTTGACGTCATCAGCGGCATTGTAGATAGGCTAGATTGGATCTGCCATTTGTAGTCTGGGCGCCGAGAGCCAGATAGGATATCGACATTGGTTCTTCGTTGATGATGATGAGACTATTCGAACATCGTCAATTATGAGCTTTTGCTGTGTTCTTATTTGGTGTGACTTGTGATGCAATTCTGCTATTGGTTCGAGGTCACGACTATCTGGTCTCATTTGTACGATGCTGTTTGATTTCTGAAGTTCGCTATCGCTCATTTTCCTTGCAGTTGCATTACTGTTAAATTAAATTCGTTATTATATTCATTCCCTCCTAAGACCATTGATGATGTAAAATTGTGAACAAAGGATTGATCATATTCGGGCTGCGTTGTGCACTTGCTTGACAGGGGAAAACTGGACAGGACTTGCTGCTGCAGTACAACCGCCGCGATCTGGACCCTCACTTTGGTGAGAAGATGCTGATCTAGGGCTCTTTCAGGCAATTCACATGTATGGTGATTGCAATCATTGTATTGATGAAAATGTGCATGGACTGTAGTTATTTGTTCTCAGCCTGTTCCGTGGAAAAACCGCCATGAAAAAATAAAAACACAGTGTGAAGAATGAAATGAAACGGTAACAGACTGGGCCAGTGGCCTAGCTCACTCAGTTGGCTTCGCACACAAGCGGCATTGAGGAGGTTGTGGGTTCAATTCCCCACAGCTGCCTGCCGCTTGCTTGGCCTTCACCAGCTGAGATAGTTGGCTTGCCCCCCCCTGGTCCGTCTTGGTAGGGTCCTGGGTTCTCCTAGAGGCTTCTGCCCCTGCCATTCCTCGCTGGGGATTCCCTTCTTCCCCCGAGCGTAAGGCATACACACCGCATAGGGTGCGTTCTATTCGAATACACGCATGTGTTTTCTATTTGAATAGCCCTAAATTTGGAATACAACTCATATGCGTTCTATTCGATTTTTTTCAAATTCGAAACTCGAATACAATGCATATGCGTTATGTTCGGGGGAAGAAGGACAGGGTAGTCCTTAGGCTTGGTAGATCTCGGCTGCTCCCTGTAGATTTTGGTTGCTCCTCCCGATGTGCTTCGTTAGACATAGGTAGGATGTGTAAGGTACTTGAGAGAAGACTATAGCTTAGTCAAACAAAAAAGAAATGGTAACAGACTTAAAAGTTAAAAGTTCAAAAAGCCAACATCAACGCATGTGATGATCCTTGGCGATCACCGTTTGTGTGTATGTACCAGTCTGTGTGACTCTATACTGAGATAATAATCCGAGTATGTGACGTGAACTTCCCTCTTGAGGAAGAAGGGGGTAGCTTGCACTGAGCAGCAGTTTGTATCTCTTTTTTTTTTTACAAATAGAAATACCACGTTATGAATTACTGAACCTGGAAACTGAGTGCAGCGTCCCTAAAAGCAGATGTACTAATCCTTCTCTGTATCGTTCCAATTTTAATGGGTGTTGCAAAGGATAGCCTGAGGGCAGTGACGATCTCTTCATAGCGGTAAGAGCAGAGAGATTGACCTATGGCTGCTATGCATATGCTAACTAGACTGTACCTGGATCTTCACAGAATGGCTAAGTATAGTAGCGGTCCTCGTAAGGGCCCACTGCACCAGCGCTGGCATAGTGATCTGGACAGACAGGTGTGGCAGCTGGATTTGGATGGGGTGGAGGGGTGAGGACTGGCTGTGCATTGCATCCCAGGGAGGACAAGAGTCCCACCTCCTCCAAAGGCTGCTCCTGCAAAGACACACTCTTCTGGGTCAACAAGCAGAGTCCCACCTTGACCAAGAAGGGTGGAGTCCCATGTTGACTGAGGAGTGAGACTCGGGCTTGTTCGTGATAGTAGGGAGCAATGCTGACTCACTGTGTGGCCATGACTGCCAGTATTCCATAAAGGATGGCAAAGCCAATGAATGGTTTGTGAAGGTTGAGCCATTTGAGTGGCCTGGGCGATTGAGGACGTACATGCGATCCGCATCAGGCATTTGATTCTGCGGGGCAGGCTGGAGCCGCAGTTGTGTTCCTATTGACGGCATTGATAGCACTTCCATATTCTCGACAGCTAAGGCGCAGCCATCTCCTGGGCAGACATTGTAGCTCTCCGCTTCTATCTGGTAGATGATGCCCGCCAGGCGGTGCAATTGTAAGTGAGGACTCTAAGGAGACATGCATTAACAACATAGTACGGATAGTAGCCTCATAGGATGTGTACTGGCCTCAATGCTGTACGATGAGATCATTGGGCTTACAGATTGCATGGTAGGGAGAGTCCCATTCCAGCCTCTGCTGCCTGGGCTCTCAAGGGGCTCTCATGGCTCCTCTGACAAGTGGCCTGGGGACGGGGTGCCATCAGCTGGGGGCTCCGGCAAACGGGGGAAGGTGCACAGATTGCAAAGTAGGGAGATGCGCATTCCATTCTCTGCTGTACCCTGTACTTCTGCCCTGAGGGGCTCCCATGGCTCTGACAAGTGGCCTGGCGACAGGGTGCCAATGCATCAGACGGGGGCTCCAGCATACAGGGGAGGTGTTGCATACTGTAACGTGCAGACCAGAACAAGAACCGACCTCTTCAATACAAAGTACAAGATAACACAGCGGAAGACTTAGATACGAATGATCCGAACAATCAATATTGCAATGCAGCCCTGAACACACATCCTCATCATCGTTATCTGGTGTGAAGGGGGTCTGGCGCTTCACACAAGAAGACTGCGCCAGCCCCAACCATACACAGACGAAGGAGGGGTTAGACGAAAGAGGAGGGGAAGATGGGAATGTCGACAACACCAAGGCTCGGTACAGGCCCAAACAGTCCCTCGTCGAAATGTCTGAATCCCACAATGTCCAGTCTGGATCCAATGTCGTCAAGTCTCAAGTCACAACTCTTTCTCTCTCTGTCGTAGTCTGAGAAGTCAGGTGGCGAGAGGGTGAGAAGAGATGGTGGACTTAGAAGAGGAAGAAGGAGAACTCTCCCTCTCTCTGTGTGTCCAGTACTAATCTGTGAAGTTGGCGCCTTGATGCAGGTACCACGAAGATGGAGCTGGAGCGATGGCGCCACAGGTAAGCATCACTGGCCTCCGCCAGTATCTCTCCCAATCTACGATCTACCACCTACCAGCGCCCAGCGCTGAAGACTACAACTACAGCTATGGCGCCCAGCGCCGAAGACTACAGCTAGCGCTAATACTACCTAGCGCTAACGACTACTGCAGCGCTCCTCCTGAGTGCTGCGGCCGAAATCCTGAAGACTACTCGTGTGCACTAACCACTGCCTTACCCGTGAAGTGCCTAGGACAGTCCTATGTACTACCGGGGTGCCTCCTGACTGCAGGCGAGCAGTCCAGGAGGCTGCTCTTGCCAATGCCGATCGGAGGCAGGGGCTGCCGCTGCAGCTCCTGCTCAAACTCGAGGAACAGGCTATTCTTGGCCTGTTCCGCATCCCTGTTTACGTGCCTGAGTCTTAGGGGCAGGTCGAAACAATGAGGGCCTGAAAATGGCCCTCCGTTTCAGGCTGGAAAAACTCTGGGTCTGAAAGACCCAGAAATAGGCTGAAACGGAGTAGGGCCTGCAGGCCCTCGTTTTTCAGCTTTCAGGCTGAAACGAACGGGGCCTGTAAGCCCTAAGTTTTAGGCTTTTAGGCTGAATGTCCGGGACGGGCCCTGCAGGGCCCGTGTGGTTACGCAGTATGCCACAGGAGGGCACACACTTTTGTGGGCTTGAGAAAGAGGGCCAGACACTGTAGCCAGGTGTGTGTGGCAGGAGTCGCGCAGGTGGCCGATGTGGGAAGTGGAAGCTGTCAGTCATGCACAGCCTGCACATGTGGCTGCACCTCGTGTTTGGTGCACATGCAGGCCGACAACACTATAGAGCTTATAACCATATTGCAGACATTGGGAAAGATGCACGCGGTTCCTGGCCAGTGACAGCAGTGTGTATTGAGAGAAGTGACGTTGCCTCAACTTGCCTGACATTGCCGGCATAATGGCAGAGGTCTTTAACCCCCACTGTAGATGCGATGATCATACTGGTCATATACAAACGAGGTTGCTGTCTGGGATATGACTGTAGAGAAAAAGGAACGCTGGCATCAGAGTTATATTTGTGGTGGCTGATCTGACAATGAGTGTGTCAATAGCGAAGAAGAAGAAGAAGAAGAAGAAGAAGAAGAAGAAGAAGAAGAAGAAGAAGAAGAAGAAGAAGAAAAAGAAGAAGAAGAAGAAGACGGAGACGGAGAAGAAGAAGAGGGGGCGGCGACAAGGCAGCAAGAGTTGAGGAGGATGGCAAGTGGTGGAGGTTGCAGGCAAGGGGAGAATCCGTGGGAGGTGTGGTGAGTATATGACAAGCCTCCTGGTCAGCTCGATAACTCAACTCTCTTTCTTGTGAGTCAGTTGCAGGAATAGACCACGGTTGTTCTCAAGTGTGCAATGGAGCACGAGCATTTCGATAGCATGCACATTGTCCACAGTCAGACTTTCTGCTGATGCTGCAGCTTCTATGGTGCACAGAGGTACTAAACGACCGGTGTTGCATGTGCTCTGAATTGACGATCAACCTAAGTTACCCTTCTGCAGGCTTCCGGGTGCCTGGGCTGCCAGGAGATGACTAGAATGCCACCCGGCTGCCTGGCCGGGCTAGAAGGATCACTGAGGATGTCCAGGGCCTGTTATATGGAATTACATGTTTCTCCCGTTTTTACTTTCCTTTTTAGTTGTGTCCTTCTTTGTTCCCCTCTTCTTTTCTTCATTATTGGTTTTCTATCCCTTCATTCTTGCAGCAGGCCTCTACCTGCCCTGGCCTACAGCCCGGGCTATTCGGCTATTTGCCTGTTCGGCCTGTAGGACAAGGCCGTGACCTGACCCCACAGGCTGTGTGAGTATTCAGTCCAGTCCGATACCACTGTCGGTACCAGTCCAGTCCAGTCCAGTCCGCTGGGGGTATACCCCAGCTGCAGTCTGTATTCTCACTCTAGATTTGCACAGTTTGGAGTACATGCGTGTTGAGTCTGCGTTGGAGTCGTTCTGTTCCTTCCAGCTCCATCGCCATCTCCCCCATCCTAGTGGGTCAGTCACACTAGTATCAGAGCGATAACGAACCCACTCCCACCCATCCCCCATACACAGGTGGCGCACAGCAATCCCCGACAGTGGGGTTTTCAGGTGTTTATGTGCGTGTGGAGGTGAAAAAAAACGGGAAAAAGGGGCATCACGCGCAGCAGGGAGAATCACCACGTGTCGGAATCCCTCACAGCGGAATTTTTAGGTGCTTATGCACGCGCAGAGGTGGAAAAAAAGAGAAAAAGCGGCATCACACGTGGCAGGGAGAATCAGCATGTGTTGGGAGGAGTAGCGCGATAGTTAGCACGAGTGCGTGCAGCTAAGGCCACGGCTGCCGTGCGCATGCGCCCGCTGGCCCCGACCCGCCCTGCTCTCAGATTATATGTAGCAGGGAGAATCAGCACGTGTTGGGAAGACTAGCCGGAGAGGTAGCATGCGCGCATGCACGCATGTGGGCAAACGCCAACTGCCGCACACGCACACTCTTGCCCCGCTGGCCCCGACCCGCCTCGCTCCCGGATTGTATATGTATACATCAAGATCCGAGATGCAGCTGCCAGGGTTTAAACTT